GGGACACAAGGGACAGTGAGATGTGAGCCACACACACAGCGTCTCAGCCGGTATTGACAGAATACGCACAAGAAACAAAGAATCATGAGCCGGGACGATCAATCTCTGAAGATGGGTAAACGAGATAACTACCTCTAACGTCAGGTACACAATAAACCTCTCGCGGTGAATGCTCTGCCTTCTGCATCACCACGTGCGAATCGCATTTTCAGTACTATTACCGCAGAAAAAACAATTGTTATGTGTCGACCACACAAGATTTGATTGGCCAGCATTTGACGGTAGAGGTAATAGGTGATTGGCGAATGTATGCAAGCATCAGCCAATTGCTAAGTCACATCTGAAAGTTGGAAAGGTGGCCACTAACGGGTTGGCAGATGAGAAGGACGGAGCAATTCTCAGGGCCGTAATTCGGTACAAGGGACAGATTAAAGTACAAACCGTCAATTTATGGAATGAGGGGGCGTGAATTCCTGCATCCAGTGTCATACTTCATCAATGTCATGCGCCCATGCCCTGGATTATTGAAGGCGTTCAGATGTCCGCCGAGATACCGGTCATGATCCCAGTCTCTCTCGGTACAGCTGTCTTTTTAGCTTTGTCTTCCCTTGTACGACGGACCTTGGCGTAGACGCACTTACTCTTGCACGAACTGACTGCCTTTACGTACCTCGCTGTCCGTTGGAGGTGTCGTCACGTCAGGTCTCCTCTCAAGCTCGCCGAATTCTCTTAACTCTCACCTCCTTCGCGCATGATCGTATTTAGGCAGAATAATTGACGAACAGTAAATGCACATCACCTCACTCCACTTCACGTTCTGTTAATGCATCCGCGCAAGTCGCTGAACGTAAAGTGGAAAGCAGGACGTCGGGCTTCTTCTGTCTCTTTCTTCCAGCTTGCATTTTTACAAATCACTCACGATCTCCTAACTCTCTTTCTCTCTTATCTCTAAAATTTGAATAATTTTATCTAGCCACTGCACTACCAATGTCTGTAGCCGATTCATGCTTATCCACTTACGTTTCATCCGAACGTTATAAACGATCACATTCCTATTTCAAACATCAGTCCCCTTCTTGGAATCCATATCACCGACGTGGGCTTAACTGTGACCTATGAAATTTGAATACTTTTATGTTCATACTGCAGTATCAATGACTGTATCTGATTCATGTTAATTGCTTATTTATCATACGGACGTTCAAAAGACGATCACATTTCTATTTGGAATATCAGCCCTCTTCTTGGAAGCCATATCACCGAAGTGGGTTTATCTGTGACATCCAACATTTGAATAATTTTATCAGCACGCTCTACTGCCAATTTCTGCACCTGATTCATGTTTGTTACTTGAGTTCAATATGAATTTTCTAAAAGCTGTCATTCTTCTTTGGGAACCGTTAGCTCTTCATTCTGGAATAGGAGAAATGGACCATTGGGCGCATGGAATATACTATCTGTTCGGGGCATGTTCGTAAATGGCGGGTGTTTAGAGCGCCACTTTCAGGAGAATTTACTTTAAAGATTCCTTATAACCCTTACCAGAGTAACAAAAACTGAACCAAGCAATACCGCCCGTTGTCTTCCAACTCTGTATACCGACGCTCAGAGTCTATTCTCGAAGTTCGATTAATTAGAATGTGGGTACCCAATTTATCTGCTGATGGCATAGCAATAACCGAAACACGATGGTCACAGAATTCAATTTTTTTTTATTGAAGGAGAGATAGGGAAACGCCTTTTAGGTCCCTATTGCTGACATAATGGCTGAAAAATTTAAACAGCTGTCTTTCACATGATTGCAGGTGAAAAGTTAGCAGTCGTCATTTAGTGGGAAATAGTGAATATGCGAGTAGTTTAAGTACAGAATTGTGGTATCGTGGCTAATACGCGACGCCAATGACACAAGCTATTAGATGGGAGAAAATAAAAAAAGAGCAGATAGTGAAAAAACTTTTTGCGCAGTTCTCGGAAACTATAGAGGTTTTAAATGCGATTTGGTGGATTTTAAGGAGAAAAATAACTGTCGCTCATGGGAGGAAATGTACACGAGGTAGGAGCGTCATGCTGATGAGATGTCCTCAAACCCGAAGCGATGGGAAGTGCTGCAGTTTTGAGGTATTTTCTATGTAGGCTAGGTAACTATATTTGGAAGTTATCTGAA